GGATTAATTTATTAGGGGGAGACATGAATATCATTTTTTAGATTTGCATAAATGCTTAAAATATACTGAACCATATTCAGGGTGTGTGTCTGTGTGTGCGTGTGTGTGCATGTGGTGGGTGAGCATTTCCTCTAATGCCACTCAAGGTGACTCGGCCTCCCTCCTTCAGGGCTTTCCTTTCAATTCTATTTGGGATTGAAATTATGATGAAGTAATTTTTCTACAGAAATTGCCTATGTCACTTGTGGTATCTCTTGGCAAATTTCTCAAGTGTATTTTCAGTCTCTCCCTCTCTTCTCTCTCATCTCTCCACCCCTCATCCATCCCTCTTTGGCTTTCTCTCTCTTTCTCTGAGCTCTCATTTGACATGTCAATGTATCAATGTCACATTACACGGAGGCAATGTACGTGAACCAATTTGGAAAATAATCGAAAAAACAAGCAACCTCTTTATTTTGCAGCAGCAAAACTGCCTGTTCTTGAGATACACGCTCACATTTATATATATAATTTCTTTTTTATTATTTTAAAAATTGATAAAAAAAAAAGAAGGAGCATACACAGAGACACACTCATATAGTTGCTGAGACATGTGCTACTACCCCCGACACACACTTCATGTAGTTTCACAGTGAAAAATCACCTGCTTGTTTCAGGGGAAAATAAGAGGCAGTGTGGAACATGTCGTCAGATTGGAGAGAGGGATTCCTCCGGGACCTGTGGCCTAATTTCTTATTTTCAAGAGGAAACTTATCTAATTATATGTAAGTTAACTTCCTAGTGGTCGATTCAAGGGCAACACAGACTGGTATGAATGAACAGCCTTAAAGGAAACAAGGCTATCACATCTAGTTATCTTAAGACTTTTTGTTGTCTCCCTTTTCTTTCAACAAACAATCATATCTCTCCACTGGTGTCCTGTTCAGCTGACGCTTGGTCATCAACTTGTTTTGTTGTTATTATTATTTTCTCTCTCTCTCTCTCAGAGTGTTTGAAAGAGAGAGGGTGTGTGTGTGTGTGTGTGTGTGTGTGTGTGTGTGTGTGTGTGTGTGTGTGTGTGTATTCAGTTTCAGGTGCTGCATTTTAGTTACAATAAATCCATATTAAAGACAAAACCTAATTCTCTGACACACATTGATCCAATTGTAACAACAATTTATGTAGAGCTTAATGTTCAATTTAAATTTAAAAACTAACAGAAAAACCCCAGGAGGAACTTGTACCCTGACATTTTTCCTTGGAACATCAGCAATTGTAATGTACATATTGACAGTTCCTGTTTGCTCCTCTTTCAAAGCAGCATCCCTGCTGTGCAACAAGAAGCAAGTTAAAAATATGCACTGACAATAGTGCATCAGTGGAGGAAAAAAAAGACTGTTGTTATGATAACGTTGAATGAAATGGTCCAATTAACAGAGACAGAAAGTTGCAACAAGACTAGAGCCGACAGTCAGACATGAGCTCTGTAAAATTGGGTCTGGACATTTTTTGGAGTTTGCCTTTCACATATGAAGGACGTACCAGGAACATTCATGTGAGGGGTGGCCCCTGCTTAGAACATTTTACGGAACATCAACGTCGGCCCTTTACATCAAAAGTGGAACCCAGCTGGCTTTTCCAAGTTGACATCTTGAAAGTTAAGAGCTGAGATCACCAAACGTTTTGTCTTTGCACTTTGAAACAACAAACTGACTTACACCAGAGGACCTTAAGCGCCATACTGCTCATACTCTGTAAGCCTACAAGACATGTATGCTGGTGCAAGACCTAAATGACATGCTGTAAAAACTTTAGTGCTTTATTGCCCAAGAAGAAGAGCGCATTCAGCAAACCACAATGTAAAGAAATCACAGAGAAATCATAGTGGAATCATTTTCACACAAAATAAACTACAATTACCCCATTAGATTGTATGTCCAAACTCCTATACTGTATGTGGTGAGCACAGTGACCTTGACCTTTGACCACAACATTTCCATTATTTATTTTTTTTCGAATGTTTGTGCTGAATTTGAAGAAATTCCTTCATGGGGTTCCTGAGATGTTGCGTTTAGGAGAATGGGATGAACTGTTGAACAACCCAAAATCATAACAGCTCCTGCCACTTGCTAGTGGGACAAATGTAACAAATGTGGAGAATAGTATTGAAAGAGTATATCAACATAGATCGACAAGAAAATGCCTTGATGAAGAATTTAGATTTGTATACTCTATACCTAAAGATCCTTGTCACAGTCCTATGCTGAAATTGAGTCAAGACCAAAACTTGTTGAGATCAGAACTCTGCTCTCTGCAGTTTGTATTTGCACAGACACAATTTTGCGCATATTTGGAGAAGCATGATTTCGGGTTTATGCTGACAGGGTATGAATTTCTTTAATTCCATGGATATCCCACAGTAGATGCAGATTAAGATGAGTCATGACTGACTGTGACAGACTGACATTGACATTTCTGGTAGCATGGATCAAAAAGGGATGGAAGGAAAAGACAAACTGTGATAAAATGATAAGAAAATCTGATAAAAACGAGATATTTTGGAAGTAAGAAATAAAATGACAGCTTTACAGACAATCAGCCGAGCAATTAGTGTAGAGTAGACGAACAGACAAGGATACAGCAGGCGATCAGGCAGCCAACAGAAACAGACAGTGAAACATAAAGGCAGAAGGACCTGAGATCTCATCTCGGCACAGAGCATGGTTTTCTCCCTCTCCAAGTTCAGCCCTAAGGCATGGCCCGGTCTGCTTCTCCTTCTCCCTTCCTCCCTCTTAACCACCATATGGACGGAGCAGCCTACACTCCAGTGTATCTCATCAAACACAACCTCTATGTTCTTCGTTTTTTCATCCTTGTTCAACAGAGGATTCACAGAGTTGGTCATGTTTAAAGTCATTTCTCTGTTATCTCTTTGGCTCTGGACAAACAGTGAATAGTTGGCAGTGAAGGGTAATCCTTCTTAATGGAGTCCCCAGCTCTCAGATGGATTGAAGTCCACGCAGCTCACAGATCACATAAGGACACATTTTATTGCTTTGACAAAAAGGAATGAAACCTTTATTGTATTTTGAAGCATTAACTACCCCCCCACTCTTTCATTTCAACCCCTCCCTGTCTGCCTTCTACTGTCTCTTCTTTTCTATATCTCTTTCTTCTGTCTGCCTGTCTTCAGGAGTGTTTCATCCTGACCAGTCTGGGATTTTATCACGCTTGCTTTGGTCATTACATCACAATTATGGAGCTGTTGGTACAGGAGCAATGAGAGATGGAAAAAAGGGGAAGAGTGGAAAAAAGCGACAGATGAAATGTAGGTCAGTGGAGATGTGCTCGGGGCAGTTTCTCTCTCCATTTCTCTCTGTGTCGCTCTCTCCCTGGGCCAACAGCTAAAGAGGCTAAAAGAGACTGGGGGTGAAAGTGCCTCTCCATCCACACCTGCCCCTCTCCTACCTCACACAGACCGACAGAAGCTCTGACGATGTTATCTCTTGGAAAACCACTCTAATGACAGATACTGATCGCGTCGTGATGCTAATCTCGTGAGACAGGAATGACTCTTTCTAGTGATGAGAAGATACCGACTTTTGCACGTTCATGACGAGATTGGGTTTTACATTTATTTCACTGAACCTGGCACCAGAGGTCAGGAGTTGTTCCCGGTCAAAGAAGACCTGGTGGGGTTTCCTTCAGACTCAGTCAGTGTGGGTATACCACTTTGATGATTACTGCAGTTGTAAATCTGTTGGTGTAGAGCAGAGATAAGAACAAGAACACCATATAAAGTCTGAAAGATCAGTTGTCCCTGTTTGGCCTTCAATAGTGAGGATAAATAAGAAGAGCGTGTTGTTGGCTTGTCGAGGCAGATGACAAATCTATATGTTATATGAGGTGAAGGGATTTATGGCACTGAGACGGTAAATGTGAGTACTGCACTGCAGCCCATGCTGGGTCAGTCATTGTTCAGTACAGTGGTCTAACATGAACCCAATCTTTCATTTTCCAGTCAAGGACTCCAGTGTTTCTCAGAGGAAGGAGTGGACCCCACCCTGAAAGCCATCCTGAGGACACCTGACACAACTCATGTCACCTGAGCTGCTCTGAAATAAACAAAAAGCCCTCAATGAAAACATGGTGCTCAATAATCACTTTACACCTGCAATATATATATATATATATATATATTATATCACAATGCTTTCAAGATGACGATTCCAGGAGAGTCAGGTTATGTATTAGTTAGGTAATGTATTAGTTACATTGTATGTGTCAATTTAAAGAATATGGACCGGCCATTTTATCCGTTTTTTGTCATTTATTATGTCAAACAAAACCATTTTTCCTTTGCCTGCTTAAGAGTAACCAAAACTCATTAGATCAAGTAAAGGCCTTTACCAGATTTAAAGCTTGCCTTCTTGTTGAAACAATTTTACTTCTGATCACTGTCAAGGTCTGAATGTTTCCTCCACTTTTAAAACAAATGTCACTGTTGTGAAAGGGGAGTCTAGGCGATCAATGTTTCTATGGAAATTAAACTGAAGTGGAACCGAGAGGAATAAATCACCTCTTCAATTAGCTTAATGTAAGATTTCAGTCGCCACATTAGACCAGTTTAAAGATTATTTTTTTCTGTGCATGAAAATAATCTTTAGTGCACATGGTTTGTATAACTGTGTAGAATGACATTGAAACTTTCCTGTGTCTGTGCGAAGCGCAGCGGTAGAGAGCGCTCAGGTTGTCTGTGCAGTGTGTGTGTGTGTGTG